TTAATACTATAGGTTAAAGAGTTGTATAGCAGAATTTTGTTGTGCGGCAGAATACTATTGTGTGGCAGAATATTGTTGCAACATCATATGTAAATTAGTAAAGTCTGTAAAAGGTGTAACAGGCATAACAGGAACACTAGAAATATTTTGAGCAACAGAAGCATTTGTAGTGGTTGAAGATGTTGCAGAAATATTTGAAATAGTTGAAGAAGTAGTAGAAGCAATTGGGGTTGTTGGCGATGATAATACTTTTTTCATTGCTTTTTTTTTTTTATGATTTGTTAAAGACATAATGATATGAATTAATTGTAAATGAAATGAATCAATTTTAAATAAAATAAATCAATTTAAATAAAATGAATTTGCTCAATTATTGATCGCAATATATATATCAATTGATTGTAATAATTGTGTATTATTTCAATCACTATTTAATTACATTGAGTAAGATGCTTGAGAACACTCTAAGTCTCTTTTTATACATTTTAGATTATCATAAAATGTAATATTTTGGGAGACTTTGAGTTTCAATATTAGTCTCACACTACCTAATGTACAAACAATTTATAACAATATCTACTAGCATAAAGTATACCTGGTATAAATCAAAATTTTATCATGTGAAGTGCAAGATACGCAGATATTTTTAATTGCATTAAGATTGAAAAGTAGTAGTAGAGGTCAAATCTGGTTTAATAATTTGAGTTTATCACATTAATTTATCTAATAAAATTTTGATAAATTCTAGAATATCCCAAAATTGATATTTATCACATCAATTTATCTAATTAAATTGTGATAAACTCAAATTATTAAAACTGGTTTTGACCTCTAAGGTAGAAAGATATAGTAATCAATTTTGTATTATATATTGTACAACTACTCAGAATTTTACAATACACATAATAAGAAATTTTATTTATCTTAGGTTTATTGTATAGCAAGATATATTATATGAGGTATTTCTTAAACCATTTGAAGTTCAGGACAAATTTGTTCTAAATTTATAATCAAAGTACTTCTGATCTATTTTTTTAAAAAAATTAATATATTTAATTATTGTTTTTCACTAAAAATTAAAATAAGAATTATATTTTTGTAAAATTTATATTTAAATTACTGTATAAGATAAAAAATTTTAGCTTACTTATAAGCTAAAAATATACAAAATTTATAGAAATTTTTAATTAAAAAATAATTTACAATTTTTGATAAACTCTTTATATATTAATTTTAGATCTATAGTTTTTTAATAAAATTATATTTAAATAAAGAATAATAACTTTAATTATTATAACTTTTATAATTTATTTATAAAATTTAAAACTTGTATTAGAAGTAAAAATTTTTTATAAACAGAAATATATAAAATTTTAAAAACTTTAAAAAATTTTATAAAATTTAAAACTTGTATTTGAAGTAAAAATTTTTTTATAAACAGA